AAAGGTCATTCTTCTGCCTCTTCTACAGATGAGGGCAATCGGGATGGGGATAGTTTAGATGAGGCTGGGCAGAAGGCGGGATCATCTCTCAAACCCTTCTTAAAAATTGTCTAAGAGAACAAGACAGGAAGAGGGCCTGATCTTATGCCACTCTCCCAGGAATTTTCTCTCAACACCTTAGGTTTGGTCTTCCAAGTACCTATAGACTTATCATTTTTTGAGACAGGTTCTTCTCACATGTTGCCCAGGCTGATCTGAACTCCTGAGCTCAAGCAATCCTCCTGCTTCAGCCTCCCAGGTAGCTAGGACTTCAGGCATGCACACCATCCCTGGCTTATAGACTGTATTTAATGAGGCTGAGTTTAATGACTGCAAATTGAATTTCCCAATGTGGATGTTTATGAGATCTAACAGATGAAAAGGCCAGGACTTGGCTAGTGTTAGGAAGACGCTCTGTTGAGGGAGAACAGGAGGGGCATCAAGTAGCACAGAAAGACACTGTGCTTTCAGTGCATTGATCCTGCCAAGTTCAGGGCCCCCAGCCTCCTTGAGTTCTCTTCCCCAGCTAAGGACCAGTAGAACCAGAACTCTACCATGGGGTCTACTGCCAGAGCAGGACACCAAGTGCAATCTTAGCAAGTCCTCAGGGAGATGGTTTATTTTGGTGATAATCCCATTCATCTTGATATCTGGACTTTAAGAAATAGCCAGAGGAGGGCTCAGGATATAACTCAGTAGTTAGAGCTCTTGCCTAGCATGTGTGAGACCCTGTGTTTGGTCCCCATTAGGGCCAAAAAAAAAGGGGAGGGGAAGAGAGAAATAGCCAGAGGGGTTAAATTAAGGAAACATTCCTTGGGGCAGAATGAAACCCTTCCATTTTCTGACAGCAGCACCCACAAATGACAGGCATGCACCAGGACTAATTTTAAACACACCAGAATTTTTTTTTATTTTTTCAGTGTAAAAAGTGAACACGGTAAAGAAACATTGACAGCACAGCAGGGCTGTTTCATACGCGATGTTGCACACATGTTCTGCTGGGATCAGCATGGCTAGCTCAAAGCAGGCTTTGGACAGTCCTTTTTTAATATTTATTTTTTTTGTTTTAGGTGGAAACAACATCTTTATTTTTTATTTTTATGTGGTGCTGAGGATCCAACCCAGTGCCTCATGCATGCTAGGCAAGCACTCTACCACTGAGCCACGACCCCAGCCCCTGTGGACAGTCTTTACAGAGGAGGGGGCACTTTACAGTGCTCCAAATGGTTGGATTCTGGGAAAAACTCCAGAGGAAGGGAAAAAAAGCTTCTACTGGGTAGGGGGCATTTCTGAGAAATAAAGATGGGAGGGAGAGGCTGTGAGCACAAGCCAAATGGAAACTGCTAAGCAAGGGCTCCCGGCCCTGCTCCTGGCGGTAAGGCCACTCTGAGCCCCAAACCTCCTGTGTTCCTTCCTCGTCATTCTGCAGACCAGGGTCATGCACAGACCACACGTGTGGTGGCTTTGGCAACCAGACATTTAAAATAAGCTATGGTTTTTCCAGTAGCCAAAATGATCCTTCCCCAAAGCTCATAGACTGAGAACCTGAGCATGCAAAACCACAGTCTGGGTGAAGACATGTCTACTTTTTAAATGACCTGCTAATTCTTTGCAACCCACAGTACTTTGGTTTCTGTGAACCCACAGAAGCTGGCCCACCTCGTAGGGCCTTGTCTGCTAACCTGGAAAAGTCCTTTTAAAAATGAGTCATTAGCAATGGGATCAGTCATTTTTAAGGCTGCCCCATTTTCCTAGCATGTTAAAATGTGTGTTCTCAGTCTCTTCAGAAGGGAAAGCAGCAAAACCACACTTAATTCAGAATGTGAAACAGGCCCCGTGGATGTATTGCAAGGGCTCGGAAAGAGGCGGCCGGCACTGTGGGGCCACTCTCCAGGCTTCCTGGAGTGGGGTCAATGGAGTTGAAGCTCAAAGACAGTGAGGGAGCAAAGCTATTCTAGTTTCCTGGGTGCATCACCATGAAGCATCCATAGCATGTGGTTAACTGACACTGGTTCCAAGGTTCAGCACAGTCTCTATTCTGATGCACTAGAACAATGTGAAGGAAACTGTTACACATCAGTTACCTTCATTTGCAAAGAGATTACTATTATGGCTCTAGTAGGGTCTTGGGATATTTTTCATGTCTTTAAATCCAGACTCAGTACATATAGCAGAAAATTTACAATCATCCAACATAACCCATCCCCACCCCTCTGTCCCAAACAAAATAAAACAAAACAAACAAGTAGAACTAACCCATAGACAAAATTACATCAACCTCACAACACCTCTGAAAGGTAGATATTGTGGTGTCCTTACATTTTTAATTAAAACATTAATTCCAATTTCAAATAACAACATAATCAATGTCAATGTATAAGATAGTCCATTATTATAATAATCAGAGGGAACTTGCATCAAATTTCTTCAAAGTGCAAAAACCTGTTATTGATAGCATGGATGGGTATAGACTATCTACAGCTTTTGTTACTTTTTTGAGCTCACACAAGTTCTGGAAATAAAACTTCTAGACTCAGAATTCTAAGTCCACAGTCCTTAGAGCCAGGAGTACTCAACCCTGGGTTCATTGTTACTACTCGGGACCATTCCATCCTGTGACCTTACAAAACAGTCCATTTCCTAGAGTGGTCTAGCCTTTGTCCTCATTTTAGGCACTAAAATACCAAGTCATTTTGCTCATCCTACTTATGTCTATAGAGATTTCCAGAACTATACTTTCTGTGTGAACATAAGAATAGTTTTCAATTCTTTGAGGGATAAGAGATATATCACTCATAGTGCTTATCTTTTTTGCTCTTGATGCTGTTTTTTTTAGGAGAGAATTTTCACCACTCCCCTTTCTTTTCTTGAGCTCACAAGTCCTCATTCTGAGAGTTTGAGTCCTCAAAGATGTCAAAGCTCTTTCACAAATCTTAAGTGTCCCTGAATTTCCAAAGCTCTACTAGAGATCCATATGCCTTCTCTCAGTAGAGTGCAGCTTAAAGTTAGGCCTTCAGAGAAACATTGTCATGATGGTCTTACTGCCTGCTTTGAGACATGTCTCAGAAATATGCTTGCTTTGTCTATTTTTGTGCTGGGGATGGAACCCAGCACCTTGCTAGGCAAGTGGTCTACCACTGTGCTATATCCCAGGCCAAAAGAACTGCTTTTCCCCTAAAACCTTTAAATCTCATCTTCAACAGAGGGGATAAAGAAGCAGAGGAGGGAAGAGAATAGCCATACAGATGCTACTTGGAAAACAGTTAATAATACGGTGTTTCAATTAGTTAAGATTTTTGTGTTTTCAAACATTTTCCTTTGCAAAAGAAATTTGAGGTCATTTTCTTTCTGGCACCCTGTGAATATGGGCCTAGAAAAATGGTAAGTGCTCCATTTATAAGGTAAGAAATTTTGTCATTGGTAAAGTCAGAAGCTGAGTCAGGAACAGCTCAGAATGAATAGCAAAGCTAAGATTAGCTGGCTTATCAGTGCCACTCAATGACTTCTTGGAAGAGTGACTTAAGGTATCTACAGACGGGTGGATTTATCAGTACTTCTCTCTCCTCTGGTGGTGGTGGCGAAGGGTGATGGGAGAGACACTTCTGTTTAGTTCTCTGCCAGGAGGAAGGGCCTGTGCAACACTTCAAATTGTGTTAGCATTTGGAGATCCGGTTCTGTTCTTTTTCGATCCTCACCTCAACTCTGCATCTTGGCTGCAAAGGGAGCTTTTTGTTGGTGTGGTTGGTCCCCAGATTGTGGCCTCCTTAGTATGGGGTGGGAGCCTATCTACAGGAGCCTAGTAGGAAAGGAAGGAGAAAGACTAAGCTCCTGCTCAGGGCCTCTACTTAAGAAACTCGATGTGCTTCCTGAAACTGCCCCCAGGACTTCACTGCCCAACAGCGGTGGAAGCAATCCTGACCCTTCTCTCCAGGCGTCTCCCCTCAGCCTCACCCCAGTGAGGGTGGTGTTAGTAAAAGGAGTGCTTGTGCAGAAGGAAGTGTTTCCGTGGGTGGTGGTAACCACTGCATACCACTGGTTTCACCTTCAAGACTTAAGAACATGCAGCTCCACATACACATTTTCTCTGGAGTCAATGGGAACCCACTGAGGCTCAGGATGCTACCTTGGAGGTACAGGCTTTGTGTCACCCCACTCAGAAGAATGCAAGTCATTCAGTGAGTCCATTAGTCATAGGACAAAGGAGGGTCGGACCTGTAGAGACCCCAGGCTGGTAGAATGGGCCTTAGTTTACCATCTTGAGATGCAAAAGTTGGTCTCTTCAGCAGGACTGAACAGTCATCTGGTGGGAATACTTTCCTTCCCCAGCTTTCTTTCCTACTAGTCCCTGCTTCCCAATTCTCTTCTCTTGTCCCCCAAAGAGTCAACAGGATGTGTGATATTTCAAGCATATAATAAGCAGCTCCTCTTTCACAATGGGTGTATGTGATCTGGCAGAGCTTGGAGCCGAGTGTTGCAGAAATACAGTGATGTACTGAAGACTACACACCAAAATACACCTAGCCCTTTAGCGGAAAGCTCAAACATATTGGGAATGTTGCCATGGAATTTCATAACCACCCCTTTTTCCCCCTGAGACAGACGCCATGCTACAAAGAAGGATAAGCCATTTGTGCAGTCTGAGGTGGAACATTTTAATTACTGGCAGCACATAAATGAGTTGAGTTAGAGCCGAATGCATAAGCCCTTTAGAAATTAAAACGCTAATCTACCAGGAATTCGGAATTCTTGGCTCTGGTAGAAATGTTCATAAAGCTGGCTCTTAATTTGTAAATAGGCTCCATGAAGTTGTCCCTGGAAGCAGAATTTATTTTCCCTAACACAAGTTCTTAAAAAAGAAAAAGAAAAAAAAAAAGAAAGAAAGAAAGAAAGAAAGGCTTTGGCAAGAAGCTGCAGGTGCCAATTTGTGTATACACTTTGGGCAAGATCAAAATACCCTCCTGTTTTTTGTTTCTCCTCACCATCTTTTTCACATTCACAACTGGGGTGGTTTAAGAAAAAAGTTAATGCACTAACATTTTCACACCCAAGAAATCTGAAACACATTTTCATATACAGACTCTTCTACTTAATACTCATATATTAAGAAGTTTAAAGAATAATTTGTGGTTACTGCATTATAACATATAAATTAAGCTAGAAGGAACCATTGAGAAAGTCTAAATCCAACTTATTTTATGGTTGAAGAAACTTTGTTTTAAGAGTTAAATGATTTGTTCAAAGTCACAAACTAATTAGTGGCAAATACAGGGTTAGTAAACAGGTTTGGTGACCCCTAGTCCACTGCTGTACAAATTATCATAGCACTTCTCTTCGATAGCTGGATGACCAGTAATCACAACAAAGATGACTGATAAATCTGGAGAAGCTGTATTAGACTTTCAGAGATTTTCATGGAATACCAGTGGCTCCATTTAAAATGGGGGAAAAGAGAGTCTACACCTGCCTGATCAAGGAGAACCTGTCAGTAGAGGTGCCCTGGCTCACCCCATCTCCAAGTTCAGCTCTGAACTAAATAACCAATATGGCGTCCATCACTGACTCCCCTCCTGAGGAGAGGAGGAGGCTAAGCCTTATGTTTTCGAACCTTGTTTTTGTGTGTGTGTGGAAAAAAAAATCATTTTCAAGTTTGCTTTGGGTCTGTCCTCTAATGCTCCATGAAGGGAAATGAACTTTTAGGTAGCTGCTGGGTTCTTTTCCCTGTTGGTGCGCTAAACCATTTCACTTCAGACCCTGCCGCGCCAATCTTGATCAATGGAAATGGATGCCATCATCCTCAGTGGACAACTTTCTGGAGTTTAAATGATGTTTATATTTAAAACCATCAGTTCTTTTGGTACAGAATTTCTCCTGTAGACAACTGGATTATCCTAAAGTGGCTCAGCTTTTCACTGGTGACGAAAGGAGAAAGGGAAGAAGCAAAAGTGTCAACAAATGACCATTTGCTTATGTGATAGGAGATGCGTCTGATGCTCTGAGATCAGGGCCTTTAGTTACTGGTAACAGTTCTTTTCCTTACTCTTGGACTATAACTTGAGATGGGGAGATTATATCCTAACCCTTTAGTCTTGTGTTAAGAGCAGAAGGGCAAGGCCAGCTGGTCAGTTCTTCCTCTTCATGGAGTTGGGCAAAGGATTAAAAGGCTTTTCAATATGTGACTGATATATCTCAGAAAAAATCTATTGCAGCACAACTGAGGGACTGTTCTGACCGGGAAACAGACTTCAACGGATGGCCTGTTCTATTGCTGCAAAATATGATGACAAAATACTTCTTTGGCTTTTAAATTCCTTAAAATTCAACTGATGGTAAAACAAAGGTTTCACAAAAGTAAAAAGAAGATTTGCAGACAATGTCTGAATGAAGACAGGGTTTCTCTGACTATCCATGTGAAACTTGACCCTACTAAAAATGGTGTGGAAAGGAGTGTGGATCTGAGAACAACCTGTTAGAGTAGGGTTATCAGTTTTTAAAAATGAGATTGAATCCTTAGCGCAATCTCTGTACTGATGTTCATTTCAACATGGCTCTGTGTTCTCCTCTCGCTATATGAGACGAGAACTCATATCGATCATGGCTTCGATATCCACACATGTTACACTCAAAAGGGTCACGGAAGCCATGGCAACCCATGTGAATGGTGAACATCACATAATCCAGGAAGAGGACGCGGCAATGGTCACACCGAAACACATCCATCACCTCCCCTTCTTTGTTGATCACTTTGATGGAGTCTCTTGGGCAGATGGGAGGGGGCTTGAGGAGTTCATAAGAGCGGGGGACCTCCTTCAGCAGTGGCATCCCACTGCGGGCCCGGGGAAGGACCATGTGATTTTGTTGATAGATGTGATTCTGGCGTTCTTCGTGGTTGCTGTCAGTGTCCGTAGAGTCATGGCCACTATTGTTGGGGGAGAGGCCTCTTTCAGAAGGCAGATTCTTCTCTGGCAGGTGGATGTTCTTCTTATCCAACTCTTGGGGGGCACCATTAGGCATCTCAGCCCGGGTGAGGGCTATGGGGTACATGCTGCTGATAACTGGAACCATCTCAGAGGTGGGGGCAGGTGGTGTCTGGACTAAGGGGCGCAGGGCTTCAGCCCCAAGATAGCTGATAGCATTGTTGATGGCTTGGTCCATCATCCGGGTCTGTATCATCTCATTCTCCTTCTCATACATGTAGCTGGAATTATAATTGACATCAAAACAGTGGCGCTTCTCACCTGGAACAAAGGAAAGGAAGGCTTACAAAGGGCATGTAGCCAAGACAGACGGGGATGACATTATTTTCCAGAGTCCTCAAAAAACGAGAAAAGGTATGTTCAAGAACACCCAGCCCTGGTGGCTTGTTTCCACAGAGAGTGGAAGCCTCAAGGGATGCTGTTTGCCATTTACACATTTGGACAGTAAAAATAAACTCAGCGAGCAAAAGGAGGAGGCAGAGATGTCACCAGGCAGAGGCTGCATCCTGAGGAATGCCCACTGGAAAGAAAAGGAGGAAAAGAGGCTGAAGACACTATGACAGGCTTAGAGGGGAGAGAGCGACCACTGAGCAGGGGCTTGGGCTGCTCAACTTCCATTGTGTGAAGTTGTAAGTGCCCCCAACTCCCAGACTCTCATTTAGCTTATTTTTCTGTTTGTAATGTTAGGGGATGCTCAGTGATCAGCCGCAGTAGCTTTAAAAACAGCTACAGAGACAGAGAAAATAGCCCCCAAGACTCCAACTTCCTACTCCCTAGTTCACCAGCCACCCACTGGACTCAGATTGAAGTAAAAGAGCTTCAGATGCAGGCAGCCCTACAAATGCCTTCTTAAGGAGTGAACCACATCTTTGTCTCTTTACTAAAATGTGCTGTTCTTCTTTACTTGAAAGATGTATCCTAGATACACATGGGATCCTTAGGACCTATCTCACACTTAGCTGAAGTCATTTATTTGTTGTGGTCACCCTCTCCCACTTCTAATCATGTCAAATTGCTGAGAAATTCTGAAAATGGAGTGAGTTGCCCGCAGGGCATGTGGGTGTTGTGTGTTAGAAAACAGAGAGAGGCTCTCTGGTCAAGGAGGAGGCAGCGGGGGCTGGGGATGTGGCTCAAGCGGTAGCGCGCTCGCCTGGCATGCGTGCGGCCCGGGTTCGATCCTCAGCACCACATACCAACAAAGATGTTGTGTCTGCCGAGAACTAATAAATAAATATTAAAAATTTCTCTCTCTCTCTCTCCTCTCTCATTTAAAAAAAAAAAAAAAAAGGAGGAGGCAGGGACCGTGTGTGCAGCAGTGGAGGATGTGATGGTACAAGTGGCCTGGAGAGGGAAGAGAGAGCATGGAGGATGAGAGGGGGTGGGCTCAGGCCACTTGGCTGACGTTGGGTTCTTGAGAGATTTGCTGAGCCCTCTCCTTCTCTTCTATGCCATTTCTAGGCATGTTGATGTTCCAAAATTTGTCCTTAAACAGAAAAGGCTTAAGTAATGAAAGAAAGAAAGTAACACCAGAAGAAAACAAAAAGATCAGGAGAAACAGTTTCTTTTCTTGAGGCATTTCCAATGTAGGGGGAGAGAAATGAGACATGTATATATGAAATTGGAGACAAATTACAGGATAAAAAGTTTGAAAGGGCTGTTTTGCTCTAGGAGAAATTTGATTTTATTTTAAATGTCACCGTTAAGGCATTTAAGCACAGGAGTAACATGTCTTCTGTAATAAGGACTAAAAGGCAACATACAGGCGAAGTCAAGACAGTAAGAATTTCCAAAGTACTTGGGGGAGGGAAAGCATTCTTGGAAAATCTGAATTTTGAGAAGGGTCTTGATGAACTGGTAGGATTTAGATTATCTGAGGAATAAGGGAGGACATACTAGTTGGGGGACAGCAGAAATGAAGGCAGGATGGTGGCACTGTGCAGGACACTCTGAGGGAAGAGTGAGAGAGTCTGGCTAAAGATATGGCAAGAAGTGCAAAATAAAGTATCTCTCAAACTGCACTTTCCCCTCACACACTGCACAGAGTAGCATGGACTGTTTGACTCCAATTCCATCAGTTATTATTTACATGATCTTGTGTGAAATGGACACAGTGATCATAACTACCTTGTTGGGATTACTGGAAAGTGCTGAGAACAGCAACTGGCACACAAAAGACACTTGGTAAATGCCAGAGTTTTAAATATTTTTTCCATTTCCTTAAGTTTGAAACAGTTTGTTTTTTCTGTTATAAAAAATGTAAAGGGCTGGGCACAGTGGTACATGCCTGTAATCCCAGTGGCTTGGGAGGCTGAGGCAGGAGGATCGGGAGTTCAAAGCCAGCCCCAGCAAAGGTAAAGCATAAAGCAACTCAGTGAGACCCTGTCTCTAAATTTAAAAATCCAAAATAGGGCTTGGGATGTGGCTCAGTGGTCAAGTGCCCCTGAGTTCAATCCCCAATACCCACCCTAAGTAAATAAATAAATAAGTAAAATGTAAAAAAAAATTAAAGGGAACTTTATATTACTAACAAATGGAAAACTAGAATCTTTGCTGCAAATAGCAGGTGTAACTGTGAAAAACAAAGACAATGTAAGAGCAATTTATTAAATTATGATTAGATACTATGAATACTTGGACACTAAGATCCTTTCTCTTGGTTAAAAACAGAGATTGGGTTGGGGTTGTGGCTCAGTGGTAGAGCGCTTGCCTTGCACGTGGGGGACCCTGAGTTCGATCCTTAGCATCACATATAAAAAAAAGTGAAATGGAGGTATTGTGTCCAACTACAACAGAAAAATAAATATTAAAAAAAAACCAGAGATTACTGGCTCTGTGCATTGGTGCCTGCCTGTAATGCCAGCACTTTGGGAGGCTGAGGCACAAGGATCAAGAGTTCAAAGCCGGCCTCAGCAACTTAGCAAGGCCCTGTCTCTACATAAAAAATTAAAAGGGCTGGGATGTGGCTCAGTGATAAAATACCCTGGGTTCAATTCTTGGTTTAAAAAAGCCAAAACAAAAAGCAAAAACCCAGAAAGTACCAAGTGAGAGATTAGTATTAAAGACAAATAGGATCTAATTAAATCTAAATATTCTCCTTGGTATAAACAATCTCCTTGGAGATTGAAAGAAATCTAAAAAGAGAATTATTTTCTCAATCAAGGTTTTAAAATGCCCTGTGAGCTTCTTGTCAGTTTACATTGTGTGTGTATATATTTATATATATAAACATTTCTTTTTTAGTTTTTGATGGGAACATCATCTTAATTTTATTTTTATGTGGTGCTAAGGATCGAACCCAGTGCCCCGTGCATGCCAGGCTAGCGTGCTACTGCTTGAGCCACATCCCCAGCCCTACACTGTATATTTTGGGAAACATTGAAAAATAACAACAAAACAAAATATGGTGGGGCTAAATGACCGGTGTTCTGGTGACCAACCATAGGGTTCTGGGTGACCAACCATAGGGTGTGGATGTAAACAAACAACAAATGGCTGCGTGCCCTTGAGGGACAGAGGCTTCAGTCATTGATAGAGCAATGTGTGAGATGGACCAGAAATTGAAGCCAGAAAGGCTAGCTAAAAGACCTACTCGAACCAAATGGATCTGTCCTGTGTCCACACTACCTTAAGGCCAAGCTGATAATTTCCAGACAAAAACCTAAGAGGGAAAAAAAAAATATGTGAAGAAAAGTACCCTACCCTGACTACTCAATGAGAAGTGACAGAAAATTATGCCTTTGCCAAAGTAAACAATGGTTCCTATTTTCAAGTCCCAGATTGGATGTACCTTTGTTGAGGCTGACTGGAAGAAAGACACTGCAAGCACAAAAGCCAGCTGAAGTCACAAACGTTCATTCTCTTGAAAGTGACACAAGAGTGATGAACTTTGGTTTCTTAGCTTTTCAGAGTTTTGATGATTTCCCAGTGTGGCCTGCTCTGCCAAACTCCCTAAATACCAGGATTCCTCTTGAATCTCTCTTTTTTTTCCCACCTAACAGAGAGGCTCCAGAAAGTTTCCCGGGTGGGGCGTATCACAAACTATTTTCATCCTTTCTCCCAGGAGTCTGCTTTTTTTACCCAGGCCTACAATTTCACAATCTATACCACCCGCGGCATATATCAGAACACGAGATGAGTGCTGAAGCTGCAAGAGGCCAAACATTAAGAGGAAAATAACCCCCTGGATGAGTGGAAATATGTGACTGAGTTCTGTGGTTAATGCAGACCATTGTTCATTGTTAAGAGGGGAGGGCTCAGATCTTCACGTGCAGCTTGCAATCATCGGATCCCCTCATCTACGAGTTACCGTAACTTGAGCAGTGCAGATGATTATCAGTCACCTGTAGACACGATGACTCAATGTGTATGAAACTCTGAAGGGGTAAGCTACAGTAATTGAAAAGCCAACAGCTCACGTTTCTTTAGTAACACACTCATAAAAAAGGTTAGTCAAACCACAAGAGTATAACTGCTTCCAAAGCTGCTCAAAGCCTCTAGTCCAGCTTCTAGTCAAAATCACACCACACCTTTGAATGATTCATGATACCAGCTTCAGGCTGAATAGAGGTTTTCTTCCAACGAAAATACAAAGGGTAACAGTGAGTCCTAAGTTTAGAAACTCAGGCTGCCTGGTTGGGCCATTTCCTCCCCATGATTCTTTTTTTTTCTTTAGTACTGGAGATTAAGCACAGGGCCTAGCACATGCTAGGCAAGTGCTCCAGCCCTTTTAATTTTTTTTCCTTTGAGACAGGGTCTTGCTAAGTTGCCCGCAGTAGACTCAAATTTGCAATCCTCCTGCCTCAGTCTTCTTAGTTGCTGGGATTTATAGCCATGTGCCACCACACCTGGCCCCTGGTGATTCTTTCTAAAGGTGTCAAGCTCTGGTATCCAGGCTTTGGTAACTCTAAACTGAGTAATCCCCAGGCATGAATTGATGCAATGTAGTGAGGGCATATGGTTGTTGGCTTCTAACTGCCATCTTAGAAACGGAGAATCAGACTGAGCATGTGGATTCAGACTTCGGTATTCAGAGTTGATGGTCAAGTTCTACTACCTAATCCATTTACTTCTGGCCCTTAGGCTTCACTGTACCCAACAGGGTACCTTAATGAATACAATAACATAGCTATGTTTTTTTGTTTTGTTTTGTTTTTTGTTTTTTGGTGGTACTGAGGGTTGAACCCAGGGCCTTGAGAATGTGAGGCAAGCACTCTACTGACTGAGCTATATCCTCAGCCCCAACAACAGCTACTTTTAATTAA